GTGCGATACCTGAAAAATGTTCCCATAAAGGGTGAGCTAACGCTCAATAGGGTAACTCCTATAGAGAATACCTCTCAACCTAAATGAATATGGAATGTCACATGCAACGATCATTTGATACATTCATTTAAATATGTCTATTATGATTGAATGTTATAGATCATGTCATGCCATGAGATGAGACTCACGCAAGCAATTTCAACCCCGAGCCCCATCCTGAGCTCCCATAACACATGCAATGTCATGCGTATGTATCCGAGCATTCCAAGCCCCCATCATTGGTGTTATGTACACTCAATGCTAATTAATTCATTTTCTTGTGTCTTTGTGGGGAGATGATTTATGGTATTACACCAATGGGACACCAACCATCAACGGATCTTCAGGACATCCCACCTGCGGCTCCGTTTCCGCCGTTACACTTTTTTGGAATTTCACCGCCGGAAAGTGTATAAACCAAGTAAACGGGTCTTGCACCCGAGGGAGAATCTAGCCCTTCGTGCTGTCCCCAACACATTTATCCATTTAATTTCTCGTGCGACTCAACCGAACCTTGGTGCGACTTTTCCGAGTCCACGTTCAACCACCTACGTGGTGATTGATTTTATACCATGCATACACTCTCACCTATGTCAATGCCCATGAATGTAGTGCAACCCATGCATAATGAAATACAATGTAATGACATTTTAACACGATCTCAAGCATGTTATGTAAGATAATCAACTCAACTAACATACTTGTATTCACCTAGGCATTTAATCAAACACTTAAAGAGCACATCAATTTACACAACTAGCATGCTATGACTTGCAACATGATAACATGTTTAACATAAGCACAAAGTCCACTAAAATAATCATATGTTAAATAATCATTTAACATATATATATTATTTCACAATCATATAACAAGTTAATAATTTTATTAAACTTGATCTTCCATTAAAATATAAAGTAATGCTAACATACAATTAACATGCTTTAAACTACTAACATTAACTTATACCAAGTTAATCACAATAGAATTTTATTAATCACAAGATTAATTATAAATTCTATATTTGACCCACTAGTCAAGACCTAACATGTGATATACACTCATAATCTACTCATTCCATATGTCATATTTTAAGTTGAAATTAAATCTAAATAGGGGAAACCCTACCTCTCGTAGCGTGAGACCACTTACTAGAACGCCAAGGAAGCCTAAATTTAGCTTCCTAAGTTTTAGGTCTAGATTATCGGCTTTGATATACGTTTGAAGAAAAATACGATATTTGGTGTGGTTGCGTAGCTCTCGCTGAGTAGAGCAACTTTAGTTCTTGACCCGAAGCGATTAAACGGTTAAATTTTCCTAGATCTGAGAAGGAAGAAAGAGAAAAAAAAAATAAAAACTCATTTTTTTTTTCACTCTCTCTATGTCACCGGCTGTAGAAAACACAAAAAGTGGAAGACAAAGTCTTCCACTTATATATATATATATTATTATTTTTTTTTAAATTTACGTTTTTGACCCATAATTTAACAATTAATTATTATTTTACCCTTTTTATTAGGATTTTAATAATAATAATAATTTTTTTTTTTATCGAGTTTTACAAATACCAAGTTATGAAGTAAAAACTACAATACTATATTAGAAGAAAGAGAGAAGATGATAAGGGAAAGGAAAAGAATTAGAAAAGATGAGAATAATCTGTGTATAGACTAGGGGTGTTCACCCTACCCTACGGGTAGGAAATATAATCTTCCGTTTTCCTACCTGATACTTTACAGAAGAATTTTTTTTTAGCCTACCCTACCCGATTAGGTGTAGTATTCCTACCCGACTTCCTACCCAATTAATCGGGTAGAAAGTCGGGTAAACCCTTGTGTTACTATTAATTTGTGGATCATTGTAGCAATTCAATTAAATAATATGCACCAATTTAACAACACAATAAATCAATAACACTAAAACATAAAACAACTACAACAACAATTATAATAAAACATAAGAAAGCAGGAACATCAATCTTACATTATATAGAAAATCGTACATTGATTTATGTATGAGAATGTAAAAGTTTTTTTTAGATATAAATTATATAGGTATTTTGTACTACCCACACTCTCTTATGTTATAAATAGTAATATTGGTTTAATAGTTATCTACTTACGGGTCCTTGACTCTATTAAGAGTCTTAGACCATTACGCCTAGCCCAACGATGTGATACAATGGCAGAGAGAGAGAGAGAGAGAAAAAGAGAGGCGAGGGGGCAATTGTGATCGCTGGCGATCGACGAGCGACAAAAGACCATAGAACCTCACTGTAGCCGGCCCTTCATTGAATGACAAAATAATAATAATAATAATAATAAGAAGAAGAAGAAGAAGAAGACGAAGAAGGAAGGGTTTTCTCAATTTGATTCCAAAGGTTTTCTTGCAAATCCTTTCAATTCTTCTTGCATAATTCTAATTGCAAAAGGGGTGTGATTTAGGGTTTATGTATTGCTTCCCTTTGCATGTGGGTCACTGATTTAGGGTTCACGGATTGTGGGGGTTCTATCACTCCCCACAACTATGTTGAACATTTGCTAATCATGGCTGGTTTTACTGAGCATGGTTGAGCAATTGTCACTGCCGTTTGACTCGACCATCAATTGCTCGTAACTGCCTGCATGTTGTGTACACATGCCAGAAACTGCCCATCATGTTGTGCACATGCCAGCAACTGCACAGAACTGCCTCACCTGAGGTGCACATGCCACCAGTTGCTCATAAGCGCCTCACATGACGTGCACATGCCTTCCTTGTAAGCCCACAATACCTGATTTGTCTTCCTTGTGTGCTAAGCCATGCCCAGTCTAGTCCGACCAATGATCAGCCCCACATCTTGGATCTCGAATTTTGGAATGTATTGTTCATACTCATAACAAACATTTGTTAGGGTTGCGTCTTGTTTTGGTGTGCCAAGGCTTGGCGGTATAGGTTACCCTAGGGAAGCTGGCCTAGCACCCCCTTCAAGGAGCAACACCTCCCCCCCTATAATAGCGTTGGTGAGCAAAACCCTATTGCAGTCAACAGACATATTCTGTACCAAGGAGTCATAACAACAAGAACCTAGGGCATAGTCGTTGCATGGTACTTGAACTCTTGTCGAACCACTCTGATACCAAACCAAGCACACATCCAATTCTTAAGGATGCCAACTTCGCACAAAGGGGTTGCTTGGCCAAGCACACCCTCACTTGGCTAACGCATGGGGTACCTTTGGGCAAGGCACCCGCATGCCACAGCCATGCTAAGGAGAGCTCGACATCCTCGTCAAGAGGTTGTTTCATTACTCCTTAACTTGTTTATCAAATTCTTGCGCTTCCTCAAAGTCCATCCCACAGTCGTGATCCTCTAGTTGTTGATCCACATCTTCCAAAAATCTGTAAAGGTTGATCTGGGTTTTTTGAGTCTCCCATAGAGGCTTCTCTTGATCCCGAGTCGGACTCAATCTATTGAGATAAATAGTCCAACACCTGTCCAGGATTGAGGCTTGTAGGTCATGCTTTAGTCTAAGTTATAGTCACACTTCCATTTCTGTGAGGCAGGACAGATGAATGTATAGGCCACTATCTCTTTTCCTTATTTGAGCCTAGACACTTGCTGTACTCTATCGGGGCTATATACTTTCGTGGCATTCAATCCACTTGAAGATAAAGAGTTATGAGGTTTGGTGCTCTCAGATAGGTAGCTGAATGTATGATGCCTCATTGACTTGGCACCCTCCTATTGTATTCTGAGGGTATTCTTGTAGAGGAGTGAACCCAGGGCCTTTCCAAGGAGGTTCCACTTCAATTTGAGTAGTTGTCCCCTTTGATCCTACTGTGCCATGTGTCGATTCATTACGGGTGCATGTATAACAATTTTATGAACTCGTACACCAATTAGGACCGCACTCTAGACCATTGCTCCTTTTTTCCCCTGGTGCCAAGCTTTTAATAGATATTAATCATTCCAATTGCTAATTAGATATTGTATCAAAAATTAGAATGGAAAGATCTTAGTAAAATGGAAAATTGAATTAGTTACCGTTGGTAATGTTTTCGGTTAGCATTTGTTTCACATTTTTGTATTGCTGCGTTTTTTTTATTGGACTTTCTTCCTTCCTCCAAACTTAATTGTACACATAGTTGTATAAATATGCACATATTAAGTTCATCATTCATATTCTACGGCCCATAGAAATTACTTTTACAAACCAATGATGTGCTTTTAGTTTTTTGACGGAATTGTGTTTTTGCCTGTAAAAAGTTAGTTAATAAGGCGTTACCGAATGTTGCATTAGCTTCCATAGTAAACCTAAGTGAGCAGCTGGACAGTTTGAAGTTAACATGCGCTCATCTGAGTTTGTACATTTTCGCACATGTTTATAACGTGTCCTGGGATTTTCCATTGGTGTTCTATTCTTTGGCTTCAAGGAGATCATTTAGCATAGTTATACCAGAACACTTGGCCAGTCAAGTCAACAAAGTTTAAAGCAAGCCAAATCAAGCTTGTTTAGGTGTAATTCAATTGATGAAATTCTATTAAACTGCAGGTCAAATCTATTAGCTGAACTTAGCTGGCTTCTGTAGATCCTGTTTCTTTCGAGACTTATCTTTGCAACTTGAAAGTGCGGTGATGTTGCTAGCCAGAAGTCACTCTTATGTCATCATGTTGAGACTTGAGGGAGAATCAATCGAACTTGCATTTCCGGCTCCTTTATTTTGTTGGCCCATTCTTTGTTCGTCCCATCTCCTGTCTTTTGGATTGGATCCTTCTAGATGTGTCTTGAGTCTCTTTTTGTGGTTTTCCTTATCATATTCGATCTATATGTTTGATCCTCTGTTTGATTTCCTGGATAGCTTATGCCTTCTTCTAATGTAGTTACTCGAAAGTGCCAATAAATTCAGGATTGAACTCTGTACCCAACACCCCCATTTATGCCCCTACTTCTAACCCATCAGAGAGCATATTTTATCAGAATGGTATCGGTCTTAGTGTCGCAACCACACTTGTAGTTGCTGTATTCATAACCATGTTTTGGCAAATGCAATTCTGTGATACTATAGCTGAAAATTTTGTAGTTGAGGTGCTCTGATAAATTTGAAGGGCCCACCTGTTCACATTGTGAAACACGGTTATTACATTTTGGTTGGATGCAGCGTGCAGATAACATTCTCATTTGATTATTGGTATGTCACAGAAATTCCCAGTCTTAGATGGAGGAAACAAGCTTCAAAAGGAGAGAATTATGTCAGTATTTCATCAGATAATGAAGTGTCCCACAGGGCAGGATATTTGTCAGTTATTATTGTTCCTTTTGTTCTGCACTTGGGATTCATGGCTACGACAGCATTTCTTGTCATGCATGTCCAGGTTAGGCTCACACTTGTCTCTTCTTTGTTATGAAAAATATTGCCAATTTATATCTAAGTTATGGAAATATCCAGCATTTTTTCTCATGCATGTGCTGGTCAGGCTCACTCTCATCTCTTCTTTATCATAAACTAGCAATTGCGTTGCATGTAAATAGTTTTTGTACACAAAAATTAATAAAATATATTAAGTATATGCGTATCTGAATTAAATACCATCTCAAATTTACCAAACTTAATTTTTAATTACTCATATTCTAATATAAGATTATAAAAACTTTGTATGTTCCCAAAATTTTTGTTTTAATTATAAAAAAAAACATAAAAAAAGAAATATTTAAATTTTTTGTGATTGAAATTTATTTTTTAGTGATGTTTGAAAAATTAAATTTCTTGAAATTTCTTGTAATTGTCAATATACTAATCACTTGAAACCTTATTGTAATTAGGAATTAGGTATGTCAATTGGGATGCGTTTTAATATACTACTTTATAATACATAATTATCAAGCATCTTAAAATTCTAAAAAATTCAAGTTTTACTTAAAAATACACTACAATATCTATTTTTACATAAAATCTTAGTAAAACTTAGGAAGTTTATTGTGTTTGAAGAATTATACTGATGTAACATAAATTGATTTAAAAAAATTATATATACGATTATTTTTTATCTAGAAATGAAGAGTTAAACTTTTCGATGAAAAAGAAAATACACATATGTAGGCATGTTATCTTTGCATATGAGATGAGTAATATTAGATTTATGGAATTTTTTGAACATTTTATTGAAAATATAATGATGCATATTTTTTAAGGGTATTATAGCCAATCAAATTTTTTTATAGAAATTGATATTTATACATAGAGAATAAATAATTAAAAGAGATTATAGATTATATTTCGCAAAATTCAATTTTTAGATGGAGGTGATCAACTGATTTATAGACAACAATTAGAAACTGCAGGCTACTAGGCAATATGAATGGAAAATTTACTACTTCGTCCGTAAGGAGAAAATACTTCGATAATATTGTTTCAAAACAATGACATCAGTTTAAGATTACCTTATCTTGGGTGTCTTTTGAGTAGTTTTTTTTTGGTTTCAAACAGGCAGTTTCATGTGTCCAACATATCTTGCATTTGGGTATTTTTGATGTATGTGTTATGATAGAGTCCAACTGTGCTTTAGCTTTTTATTTTTACGAGTCTTCCAAACCAACCCCCCCCCCCTCCCCCGCGGGGGGCTCCCTTCTCTCTTCTTGTCTTCCTGAGCATTTGATGCAATATCTTGTCAGAGACCATTTATGTCTGCATTTTATGACACTGGATGATATTCGACAGGTTGCAACTAGATTTTTATCTGCCAGCCCACCTCTGTATTGGTTTGCCTCATATCTCATGGTATTTCCTGTTGCTGGTAAGAGATGGGGCTATTTGATTTGGGTGTATTGTGCAGCCTACATCCTTCTTGGAAGCTTGCTCTTCTCAAACTTTTATCCTTTTACTTGATAAGGTCAAGTGTCACATCTGGCAATGCAACGTGTGCTGAAACGTTTTTGTTAGGTTGAAAACACGGTTTTCATGTGCAGAAAAGTGGGGTATCTGTGTAGCTCATGTCAAGAAATAACTACATTTCCACTTCAAGTTCAACCAAAGTTATGGTACCTTGGACCCGAGCATTGTTTAACTCAAGCTTTAATATTTGTCCTTTCAACCTGAGTATTACTTATATTTTTTTTGTCAATTTAAACAATTTGAACCCGACATAACAAACAAAGCACGCCCATTTTGCCACCTCTAGGATCGAGCATTCTAACTACACACAAAATAGCTGTTCAAATTAAATTGAATGAAGATTTTGTTTTTGTCCAACCCAAGAATTGTTAACCTTTATTTAAGTACGGGTTTTTTCATCGATTGGGCTTGAATTTGATTTAAATTGACCACCCTAATTACACCCTTAATTCCATTTTTTTTTAATCCTAAGAAATCAATTGTTTGCTTGTTGTACCTAGTGGAAAGGGACTCGAAGTTCCGAACCCAAGTAAAAACAATTAACCGGGTGTTTGGATAGTGGGTTTGTAATGGATAGGAAATCAAAAAAAAATATCCTTCCAAGCCAAATCAGTCCAACCATTCATCGGGCTTGGATACCTAAGCCAATTCTATTCATGTCAATATTTGGCTAACCCATTTTCACCTCTCTGGTACTCATGGGCGGAAGTGATGTAAAAATATTCCCGAGATTTAAAAAATAGGTGGAACTCTATTGTGGGCCCCTTCTTCACTAAAAAATCTAGGAAACTTGGCCTCTCTAATTCCAGTATCAACCCATCTTCCAGCCTGTACTTCTCATGAATCAAGCCATGACATAGATCAAAAAAATTCGTAAAAAAAAAAAAAAGTATGACATTACTTGAACACCGATTTCGAAGCCCTCCTGTCTACCTTCGAAGCTCGCCTGGAATGGAGGACATGGGGAGACAAAAAGAGAAAATAAGGGGCAATGAAGATGGACAGTTACTTCAGAAAAATTGTAGATCTAGCCAACATAAATTTCAGGAACAGATCGCCCAAAAAAAAAGTAACAACAAAGACTATCTGATAAAAAAAAAAATTGAACTTTGCCTGAAGGGAGGGAAAAAATCGAAGAAATTAGGTGTAAGATTTGTGAAAAATAAATACTGAAATTAACAGGATGTGATTTGACAGATCAACTAAAGGCAGACATGTGACAAGTTCTATCAACAATGGCAGTTAATGATTCTCGAGATATGACGTGCTCAGCCTCGGCGCATTGTCATAAGAGATGACCACAAGTATTTCCTCGGCGTTACCATGAGCGTCGAGAAAGAGCTTTTTTGGAATCTTATGCCGAGTAATACTGACCTTGGCATCATCTCAAAAAGTGTACTAGAATTTTCTCGACATTACCACATATACCTGCGAGGTATCCCCTCGATTCAAACCAAGGACTGTCAATTGACCGAGAGATCAAAATACGAACAAAGATTAGGCTGAGAGCCAAAGAAATGATTGACATCATATGCTGACAATGTCAGTCAGTTGTTTGGCAGACATCTAGCTTTACATTGGAAACGCCCACCTAGAAATAAATGAAGGAATGTCTTATGAGGAACTATGTCTCATGGTCAGGTGGCATGAGTCCTTATCCCATGTTGTCAGATTTAGAATGATAGTACACTGTAGGCAATCATAAGAAAGATTCTTAAGGATACAATTAATGCTCATCATAAACATACAACAAATGACTCAAAGATATTTAATTCTCGGGGGCAGGGACAGCAAGAGCATTAATCCCTCAACACGCCATGTGATGCCAAGCGTTTACTCTTGCGAAGTATGTCACTTAACGTCGAACCTCTCAGCAAATACTCGGCACAAGTATTAATACTTGGTGAGGATCCAAATGCCGAGGGACAAATGTCATTAATGCACTTCGGATTGACATGCATGCACAAGATCAAATATCGAGGTAAAAGGGACATTTTACTCGATGTCCAGCTAGCTGCCTGACAAGATCAAAGAAACATCTACACTATTTAAAAGGAAAGCCAATTAGAGGCCTTCCAACCAAAGAGGATAGTATGAATGTCCTCGATAGGCGCATTCGTCCACCAAGAAAGTATAAATATCACTCCTAAATAGAAATCGAAAAGTACGCTCTCACAATCTAACACTTAGCTTTGTATCTTTTGCCCTCCTCAAAAATTGACTTACACATCGAAGGGGAATCGTCGAAGACACTCTGACCTTCCTTCTAACTTTTCTTTGTGATCCTCAAATTTGCGTCACCCTCAAGCATGTGAGCAATTTATGAGTATCCGCCAAAATGTTGTTATATCACTATTGTACACGAAATCACCTGCAAAAGCATGATTGCTAACACTCGATCAAGAGACTATGCTAACAAAAACCCACGTCACCAAACGAAAGGCCAACCCCCCTCCCAGTATTGTGTCCAATTCAGTGCACCATACTGACAACTTGAACCAAGACTATGACGCCAGCCAAGAGCGTGCCAACCACTCTAGGCGGCAGTCCAAGCACATTGTTCCAAGCCTCATGGGAGGTAGGGGTGGCATAGGGGTGCAATTCGAGTAAGTAAAGGGGTTAACCCAGGCATAACGTGAGTATTGCCCGAATTAATTTCTTAAAATTTTGGTTGAATTCGAGCTAATTAATTCGGTTTGAATTCGGATTAATACTCAATACTCCTAAACAACCTAAACTGAATAAAAAATTAACCCGAATCCCACAAAAATTCATCCTTCAAAGAAACCAAAAACTTTGAGCAAAGATAATGGACAGAGAGAGAGATGGAGGAATTATGCTCTCTCAACAATAATTACAGAGTGTTTCAATTTATATGCTCAAGCCTTTGGCCTCGCTGGAATCCACTACATGATCACAAAAATAAATAATTAAAAAAATGATGGGAATTTTGTTATGAAAATGGAACAAGTTCGCAATCTCTTAGTCATGTAAACGAATGGTTGATCAACTATAGATCTGTGACGTGTTCTCTGCCTAGTGCTGAAGAATTACTGTCCAAATGAAGCTATTTTAGATGCTTTCAGTAACTTCAAGAGATGAAGAGAAGCGGAGAGGGAGAAAGATTAGAAAGGAGGAGAACAGAGATGGAGAGGAGAGAAACGGACACGAGATCCAGATGAACAGTTGAGGGCGAGGCTGTCAAGCAAATCTGCAGAGATGGAGGGAGGCGGAGAGCAGAATTTGTTGAACAGATCTTAAAGATTATGAAGAGGGCAGCTATGGAGAAGAGAGAGGCGGAGATGGAGAGGTTGAGATAAACAAACCCTACTCTCTCTTTCTCTCTACATATATATATATATATAGAATTTTTTTTTAAATATTGGGTTAGGTCCGAATTTTATAATCAGGTTGAGCCGATTTTATTATTTCGGGTTCAGTTCGGGTTGAATCTGAAGTTTTAATTTGAGTACGATCTGAATTCAATTTGAGTTGAAATTTTTTGGCTCAGGCATATTCCAAAATTTAAATATCTCAAATTGAGTCTTGATTTTTTGGGTTGAGTTCGGATTCGTTTGCCCAAGTTGCACCCTTAGGTGGATTGCTTGACCTCAATAGATAATAAATATGTTTCCAAGCACAGGAATATATTGTTTAGAAACTCGATTCATTACCAAGGTCATCTCCCTTTGAAAAATGAAGGATAAACTCGAATGGTGATAAAATAATAAAAAAAAAATCTTTGAAGGTTGAGAGTTGTAGTAATTAACTAATTAAAATTAAAGACAAATTTAATAAAAAAAATAACCGGATAATCTTCAAATTTCATCCCACCCATAAACAAGGATTTCTTTTTAAAAGCATAACATGTTCAATCAATCACATAAACATTATAACTTTGGTTTAGACCATAAACCCTAGTTTATGAGTTGAGAATCCCTCCTATAATTATCTAGGATTAAACTACTCAAAAATGACAGAAGTAAAAATCTAAAGTAGTTAAAGAAGACATGTAAATAAAAACAAGTAAATAAAATTTGTATTGAAATAAACTCGAATGAAAAATTTTGTATTTAAAATAAGGAAATGAAAGCAATTACAATGAAAGAAATAAAATACAAAAAATAAAGAAGAACTTTGCTTGTAAAATAAAACTAAACCAAAAACAATGAAGAAGGAGGAGGAGGAGGAGCCCCTCTTGGAGAACATCCAAGGAGTAAGAAGTTGTGTCTCTAGAGCTCCCAAGGGTGGTATTTATGGGAAAAACAAGGGAGAGAGAGAGAGAGATAAAGTTGATATGTTAGAGATTCTCTTTCTTAATATGTCTATCTCTTATTCTTAGGGAATCCCCAAAAATATCTCCAAAGGTATGGCCAGTTAAAATATCTTTTCTAATTTGTCTCTTTCTTCTCAAATAAAGATTTTGGAAGATATTGAAAGATAACTTTGAGTATTCAGCAAGTCAACAATTGAGAGAAGGAGTCCTCGTCAAAAGGTAATGTCAACTTACCGATAGAACATTGAATACCTACTGATAGAACTTTGTCTGATAAAATCTCTGAAACTTCTATGATTTTTCTTACCAGTAGAACATCCAATAAGACTCTTCTGACAAAAGTACTGTAACATTTTCTACTAGTAGAACATGTTTCACCTACCGATAGGACTTCTCTAATGAAAAAAATGCAAAGTACTGTGAGTTTCTCTACTGGTAGAACTTCTATTATTCTTCTAAAATTGACCTCCAAGGAATTGGCTTCATCCTTCCCCGAGTAACTTAATCCCAACTATTTTCTTGCCATTAAATCAATGTTTATTCTTCACATTTATGCCTAAAATACTTGCAATATAGAAATTAAAGTTTAACACATAAACTACACTAAATAAAATGAATTAATACACTAGCAAACCTAAAGTAAATATGTTAAGCTATAAAATAATGCAATGTTGAAGTATCAATATGTACCCCTTGCCCATGAGTTAGTGGACCTGGTAGAGGAACGGCTGGAAGGTCGATTCAAGCAAATCAAAGAAAACAACGTCAATGG